TATGAAGCCTCGACAAGTTCACAGAAACTTTCATCAGTCAAAAGAAGAAAGCAGCTGGGTTAGCGAGTTAGCCTCTGCTGCTAAAGACAGCAGCTGTGCCTTTGTACACTTAATGTGTCTGGATTCAGTCAGTCTGATGTCCATACAGGTGTTCAGCTCAGCAGCAGCTATGATGGTTCTTGGTTGATTGCTGGATCTGAAACTGACCTGCTTATCAGACGTGGCCGTGTTTTTATGAGCACAGAAACCTTTTTAGTTCTTTCATCAGTGTAGAGGCACCAGGATGATGAGCGCAGCCACTGCCAGCATCCTGTGTCTGAGTGTCAGCATGATGCAGACAGCCAACACCACAGGCAGCATGTTAACGCTAAGCTAAGAGCCCAGAGTGATGCTACAGCAGAGTGTGTGCTGACCCCAGACCAGCAGCCAGAGCCTTCATCAGGTAACAACGTGACGAGCAGTCAGCCTCCGTTTCTACCTGAGACGATCAAGTGCTCAGACCTAAACACTAAGACAAACATCACATGTGTCGTCACTGGGATTTGTGTTGGTGTGTGGGACACTGAAACACCTCCAGCATGACAAACATTTGACCAGACAGCGTGCAATGAATCTGCATGATGTGACGTCTCTGATGTGCTGCTCCGAGACGGTGCAGCCTCTCACAGCAGAGGCAGCGAGAACATACAGGAGGTCTCAGTGATGGAGTTAATCACTCAGTCTGTGCCCGTCCCCAGCTGACGCTCATGTTGCTTTGGTGCTTTTTGCAGAACATTTGTGTTAAACGGATTAGACTTCATGTAAATACACACACACAGGAAGCAGGTTACAAAAGACAGAGGTGCAGCAAACTAACGGCAACAAGTGCACCACACACCAACAGTTGTGACATCATTTCTGATGTACGGGCCGTCTGCAAGGAGCTCATAAAGGACTAGAGGTGATGATGATGATGATGATGATGATGATGATGATGATGATGATGATGATGATGTGTCTGCCATGTGCCAGCTGATTCATGCTGCTCACAGTTCAGGAGTTACAAGCTCATTCACAGTGTTCATGGTCTGATTGGATACTTCCATGGAAACGCCTGTGTGTGT